AGAATGCTTTTGCTGAATCCTATAGATTTTGATAACTTATGTCCCCTTTGTTGTTCAGTTCAAAGAATCTTTTGATTTCCATCTTAATTTCACTATTGACCCCATAATCATTCTGCAGCAGGTTCTTTAATTTCCATGACTTTGCATAGAATTGAGTGTTACTCTTGGAATTGATTTCTAGTTTTATTCCACTATGGTCTGAGAAGATACATGGTGTGATTTCAGTTTTTTAAAATTTGTTTAGACATGTTTTGTAGCCTAAGATATGATCAATCTTGGAGAATGTCCCATGTGCTGATGAGAAGAATGTATATTCAGTACTTTGGGGGTAGAGTGTTCTGTAAATGTCTGTTAGATCTGTTTGCTTTAGGGTCCCATTTAAATCCAGTGTTTATTTATTTATTTTCTGCTTTGATGATTTGTCTAGCTCTGACAGTGGTGTGTTGAAATCCCTGGCAATTATGAGGCTACTATTTATTTCCTTGCTTAGCTCTAGTAGAATTTGTTTTATGTATCTAGGACCTCCTTTGTTAGATGCATATATATTTAGGATTGTTATGTTTTCTTGTTGAATTGCTCCCTTTACCATTACATAATTAATGACCACCCTTGTTTTTCTTTGCCAGTGTTCATTTAAAGTCAATTTTGTCTCATGTGAGAATGGCTATACATGCTCTCTTTTGGTTTCCATTTATGTAGAATATTTTTTTCCATTCTTTGACATTGGGCCTGTGTGCATCCTTGTGGTTTAGATGTGTCTGCTGGAGACAGCAGATACTTGGGTTGTGTTTTTTCATACGTTCTGCCAGCCTATGTCTTTTGAGTGGTATATTTAAACTGTTCATGTTAAGAGATAGAATTGATATGTGGATGCTGTTCTGTTCATTATGTTGGGTAGTAGCTTATTGCTTTGTTTTCCCTGTTGTTCTAGTGTTTTAGATGAGTTGTGAGCTTTAGCTTTTTAGGGTGATTTAACACTGGTGAGTATCTACTGTGATGATTTGTGTATAATGAAGTTCTGAGCATTTCTTGCAGGGCAGATCTGGCCATTACAAATTCCCTCAGTGTTTGCTTGTCTGGAAATGACTTAATTTCTCCAGCAGTTGTGAAACTTTGTTTTATAGGATACAAAATCCTAGTCTGGCAGTTGTTCTGTTTAAGAAGATTGAAGATGGGGTCCCACTCCCTTCTGGTTTGTAAGGTTTCCACTGAGAAATCTGTGGTTAGTCTGATGGGTTTTCCTTTGTAGGTCAGTTGTTGCTTATGTCTAGCTACTTGTAGAATTTTCTCCTTTGTTATGACATTGGCCAGGTTGATTACTATATGTCTTGGTAATGTCTTACTTGCCATGTATCTTCCTAGTGTTTGATGACCATTTTGTATCTGGATCTCTGGATCTCTGGCAATACCAGGGAGTTTTCCTCAATAATTCTGTCAAATAGATTTTCCGTGCTTTTAGCTCTTTCTTCTCCTTCAGGGATACCTATAATTCATATGTTAGTTCACTTTGCATAGTCCCATAATTCTCTAAGTGATTGCTCTGCCCTTTTTTTTTCTCTTCTCTGCTTCTTTAAATGACTGGATTACCTTGAGAGCTTTGTCTTCAAGCTCTGAGATTCTTTCTTTCCTTGGTTTAGTCTTTTGCTGAAGCTTTCTGCTGTGTTTTGAAATTCCTTAAATGACTCTTTCATTTCTTTAAGTTACATTGTATCCTTTCTTATGTTGTTTTTCATTAATTTTCTGACATTTTTTTGGCTTCTTTTTGTTGGTTTTCAACTTTAATTCCTTTCATCTTATTTGCCATCCATATTCTGAATTCTATTTCTGTCATTTTGGCAATTTCCTTGTGTTTGGAGTTCAGTGCTTTAGCTCCATTGTGATCCCTTGGGGCTGTCAAACTGTTTTGTTTTTTTCACATTGCCAGAATTCTTTTCCTAGTTTCTTCTGAAACCTCTTTTCTTGACTCAGGGCTAATAGATTTTCAGGGCACCTGTTCTTTGCTGGGGACTCACCTGCTTAATTAGAAGAAGGGGAGGTCCCTTGATGGGCTTTTTTTCCCCTACTTTGGAACATTGCCATGGCAGGGGAGGGGTATGTGCACCAGAAACCTGCAGAACAGCTGCTCTGTTCACCTGTGATTGTCATAGCTCAAGCCTGTGTGGGATGATCAGAACAACCATCAGGTGTTGGTTGTTCACCAGATAGTTGTAGGAAATTCGAGTTGGGAGCTCAGCAAGACCCTCTCCACAGAGGCTGGCATTGTGGGTATTGCTCTACCTGGGGTCTCCCCACAGAAGTGACAGTGGCAGCTGGGTGAGGCTGTTTAGGTAGTGGTTGTGATTTCCCAAGCTGTGGGTGTTTGCTTGAACCAGGTCCTCGTGTACTGGCAGCTCAAGGCTGGTGGGTGGGTTCCCTGGTGGGGTGTTGGACCTTGGAGCAGTGGTGGAGGCTCAGGGGTGGGGTCTTGGGGTCCAGGTGCAGTGCTGGAATCTCAGGGGTTGGTGTCCCAGGCCTGGCGGAACCTCTGGAGCCACAGGGACAGAGCCTTGGCCTCTGGCATGAAAGCCTCAGAGCTGGGACTGGGGAGGAGCCAGAAGCAGGACTTCTGAGGAGGGCCTCAGAGCTGGAAGTGGGCCCTGTGGGTGGTGGACTGATCCGACCTAGAGGGCAGAGTCAGGGTCAAGCAGGTGGTAGGTTGTTCCACAGGTTCAGGGACTGTGCAGATGCCAAGTTATGTGGGCAGAGGTCAGTTCCAGTGGTCCAGGGACAGCAGAGTTCTCTGTGCACCGCTCCCAGGACCCACTGAAGTAATCATCCAAAGCTTCCCAGGTCGGCTCCTGCAGTGCCCCAGTGAACCACCGTGCTCAGATCCTGTTGCGCTGTAGGAGAGGGGAATTTGGCTTCCAGTCACAGGGTATGGCTCAGAGGAGCCTCCACTTAGTCCTCTCTCCCCCAGCCCAGAGGGGGCGACGTGGAGCCACCACTGCAAAGCTGAGTCCTGTGCAGACCTGGTGCTGCACACCTGAGATCGCAGGATGGCTTCAGCTGCAGAAACCCAGGATCGGCTGTCACCCAATCCCCACCACACGTATTACCCTGTGCAGTGACTCTGCACAGACTCCAGGCAGGTCCCCAGTCTATCCAGGAAGAGGCCTGTGGCAGTGGAGGGAGCCCTTTCACAGCTTGGCCTCAGTGTCTGTGGGGAGAACATGGCATCCTAGCACTCTGTCTGCCTATTCTTCCCCATGTGTAGATGCCTCCCCAATGTATCGCCCGTCACCTTCTTTTTCATACCGAGTGTACCGCATTGCTTCTCTGTGATTTCACAATGTTCCTTCCAAGAAGAGATATCCATAGGTAGGCATCTGCCTGGAAGTTACACTTCTTTTCTTGAGAGCAATGTGCTCATGGGCTGCTTCTAGTCTGACATCCTTTTCGAACTCTGAATCTTCATAGGAGTTCCCAAGGCATTAGTACCCTCGTGTCAAGGGCGAGGACACTCAGATTCTGAAAGCTAAAGTACCTCACCTAAGTAATTTTGAGACCTAGGATTCAAACTCTGGATTGCCTGAACTTGGAATTTATCAACAGTGTTTCAGGGACTCCTAGAATTTAGAACTGAAGAGGATCTTAAAGAGCTCAACTTCTTGGGTCTGCCTATGAGAAAAATATGGGGGCCCAAGGGGGCCAGGCATCCTGCACAGGATTCCTGCATAAAAGCAGAGGAAGCCATTGGATTATTCCCCCCATCCCCATGGGCACAAGTGCAGCAGCAGTGCTTTCTGTGCATACTGTGTTTACAGCCATAAGGATAAACCATGCAGCAGGCAGGTTCAGAGAAAAAGGGGGAAGGCAAGAGACCGTGCATGCCCACCCACCCTGCCACCCATCCTTCTCTCCCTAGTGGCTGCTTGGAACTCCAAGTGCACATATAGAAACCAGTCCCTAGACTAGATCTTCTAAACTGCAGTGTAGACAAGCAGTTGGGGTTACCTTCCCATTCCATGATCATTTGCAGAAGGGAATGGAAAGAGGCACGAGGAGAACGAAGCTTCGTCTAAGGCTATCACATGCTGGACCCTGTGCTAGACGCCTTCATGCATGTCATCTCACATGGTCTCACGTCACATTTATCCTTTTCATTGCCCATAAGATGCTGTAACATAACATGTTAGTCTATCAAATAAATGTTAGTGCTCCCATCTCGTGATGAGACATATGCAGAGTTAGACAACTAGTAAACATATAACTGACATGTACACTCTTGACTCCAAAAGTCAAAGGAAAAGCTTGTAAATGTTGGCTCAAACAGTCCAGGTTTTGGCTTCTAGATTGGTCATTTAGTAGCTAGGGAAACCCCAGGCTAGTTTCTACCTGTGTAAATGGAAACAGTCATACTTACTTCGTAGAAATGTTGGTTTCCTTCCTCCTGACCTGTTCTCTCTCTTTTCTGCCTTGGAGGGATGAGATCTACCTTTAGAATTAGAGAAGGAAGAGGCAGTTGACCCTTCCTGAGGTACGAGGAGGATTGGATTAATGGCCAACTTTGTCCTTAGAACGTCCCTTTGCGGCTTTGTCAGATGTGATTGCTCCCTTTTGAAGGATAAGAAAATGGAAGTGACGATTCCCCTGCTTACCCCAAGGTAATCACAGAGTGAGGCCATCGTCATGATGGGGTGCACCTAACACTGAGAACCTAAAGACTTCGACTCTGGTCCTACCTTTCTTGTATCTAGATCTCTAAGACAGGCATCCTTCCATCCCAGACAGAGTGTCCTGTGGTTTGAAACGAGATTATAGGTAAAAAAAAAAGCTTTTTAAAACTTTCTTCAAAAACAAGAATGTCACAAGAGGTTGACTCTTGAGTCTGTGCCCCTTTTATAGAATTTCATTCAGCAGACCTGGCTACCTGCCCTTTTTGGGAAAAATAATGTTTTTTGAGTTTGTGTTTAACCCAATGTTAATTAATGCTTTTCTTCTATTGTTTCTTTTGTGTCTAGACTACCTTAATGTCACCAGTGTTCACCTGTTCAAGGAGAGATGGGACACCAATAAGATAGATCACCACACTGACAAGTATGACAACGACAAGCTCATTGTACGTAGAGGGCAGTCTTTCTTCATCCAGATAGACTTCAATCGTCCATATGACCCCAGGAAGGATCTCTTCAGGGTGGAATACGTCATTGGTGAGTGCCATGTGCAAGCCCTAGTCATGACAACATGGGTCATATTGTAAAGAGGGGCAGATACAGGTGCAATTGCATTATTTTCTAACATCTTAGTTCAACAATGGTTGTAGCAAGAATTACCTCCAGCCTCTGGACAACTCTGTGCTCCAAGATGAGTCTGTATAATACCAAACATCAATAATTTGGGCCTACCATGCAAAAAGATAAAAGTAACTACAATTGATACAAAATGTTGGTTAACTGACTTATTTTTTCCCCAAACAAATGATTTTGGCATCTGATAGATGTGACTTTTAATTTATCTCCATGATTTAATTGGTCTCATGTGCTGAAAATATTTGCAAATCTTAGCATACAATCTCCAAATATGCATCTCCCAAATTTCGTTCTGCTCTAATCTAGTCCCACGGGATGGTCCATGAAAAATGAATGGTCCAAGAAAGTCTGGTGAACACTTTGCACTCTAATCTCTTGAAGATTGACAAAGAGCATTGGCGTCAAAGGTTCTGGGAAGTATCAATACCATTTAGCTTTGTTTGGTCTGGTGTGTCTCAAATTAATTTGATCATGGAACCCTTTTATTAAGTTATAGCTATTAATGTTTGACACATTTTGGTGAACATTTCTCTAGGAATCTACAAAAATATCAAGGAAACACGTGCACAGAGAAGCAAGGGTGGCTCATGTAAGAAAACCTGTCCATAAAATCCTGCACACAGACTAAAGGAAAAAATTAGGCAATCAAATCAATAGTCACTGGAAAGTACATAACAAAATGTAGCAGTCATTTTTGGGAAAAGAGTTTAAGTATGACAAAAGTAGAAGAAAATTCCTTAATTATAATAAAGATTTTTATTACCTCAAAGCAACTTTTGATATCTTAAGTGGAAAAAAGTTAACAAATTTAATTATAATAAGGCATTAGACAGAAGTGCCCGCTTTCCGCATTCCTTTTTTGAAGCATTGCTTTAAAGGTTTTAGCAGATGAGCAAAATAAGAGAAATATCTGCTATACACATTGGAAACTAAGAGATGAAACTATGTATTTTGCTAATGCTGTGATTGTGTATGTAGAAAACCCAACAGATTCAAAGGAAAAAGCACAATATCAATAAAACTTTGTAAAATGGCTAAATGGGAGATAATTACATACAAATCAATAGCTTTTATCTTCTCTAGCACTAAGCACCTAGAAATAGAAATAAGAAACAAATATTCCACATATAACAGTGACCCAAACTATGAAATGTTGCACTAAACTTTAAAAACAGGACACATGACCTATGTAAAGCAGTTATTAAATCTTAATAAAAGACATGAGAAACCAATGAAAAGCCAAACATGTTCTTGGACAGGAAATCTCAATATATATTTTTTAAAATTCTCCAAAGATGTTGGTCAAAGGATACAACATTTCATTTAGACAGGAGGAATAAGTTTTAGTGATCTATTGCACAAGATGGTAACTATAATTAATAATAGTGTATTATATTCTTCAAAATTGCTAAAAGAAATAGATTTGAAATGTTCTCACCACAAAGAAATAAGTATGTGAGGTTATGGATATGTTAATTAGCTTGATATAATCATTCCACAATGTATACAAAGATTAAAACATAGCCTTGTACCTCATAAATATATATAATTATTATTTGAAATAATTTTAAAGTCTCCAATGTTAACATGTGAATTTGATGCATTTCCAATTAGAATCCCAATGGAGTTTTAAGTTGGTTTTTGGGTTTTGGTTTTTATATATTTTGGGGGACTTGGATAAATAACCTTAAAGTTTATCTGAAAGAATAAATACCTGGCAATAACCAAGAAAACTATACAAAGAAATAAGTAATAGAATATTTCATATCAGAAGCAGCTATCAGAATATATACTATATAAAATATTTAGTAGAACACAACAGAGAACCCAGAAATAGATTTCAGTATATGAGTAATATAGTTGATGGTTTCATGGACTAAGAAAAGTGCATGGAGTTTTTTGTTTGTTTGTTGCTGTTGTTTTAATAAATAATGCTGGAACGATTGGCTCTCATCTCATACCATATACAGTAATAAACTTCAGATGGAATAAATATTAATGTAAAAAATAAAGCTCTCATAAGACAATTTTGTGAGAAAATGTAACAGATTTAACTAAGCCAGAAAACTCTGCCACCATAAAAGAAAACAAAAACTATGTACAGTCATGTGCCACATAATGACATTTTGGTTAGTCACAGATCACACATACAGTGGTGATTCTATAAGATTATAACAGAGCAGGAAATTTTCTATCGCCTAGTGATATCATAGCTGTCATAATGTCATAGCACAATCACTTTATTTTTTAATCAATTTATTGTAGCATAAGTGTACAGTGTTTAAAAAGTCTACAGTAGTGTACAGTAATGTCTTGGGCTTTCATATTCACTCGCCACTCACTGACCCACACAGAGCAACTCCAGTCCTGCAAGCTCCGTTCATGGTAAGTGCCCTGTACAGGGGAACCATGTTTTATCTTTTATACCATATTTTTACTGGAACTTTTCTATGTTTAGATGCACAAATACTTACCGTTGTGTTGCAGTTCCCTACAGTATCAGTGCAGCAACATGTGCACAGGTTTGTAGCCTAGGACCAGTAGGCTATACCAGACAGCTTAGGTATGCAGTAGGCTGTACCATCTAGGTTTGTGTAAGGACACTGTGATGTCGACACAGTGACGAAATGGCCTGAGACAAGTTGTACTCCATGCATGAAAACAAACACCCATTTGAAACTCTGTCCACAGTTCTGCTGCCATTATGAGGGCGTTTTTATTTCCACCTTTAAAGCCAAATATTTCGGGCAGGGAGAAGAGGATAGGGATGCTTCAGCCCTCACCTGGACTCGTTTCAGGTCTGAGACACTCCCACAGACCATTCGGAAAATAATTGTGAATGTGGAAGTCTTGGGAAGAATGATGAGTGTCTTAGATTGAGTTCCCAGGAGACGAACTCTGAGAAGGAGACGTGTGTGCAGGGAGTTGAATGGGGAGCGCTCTCGGGGTCCACATCTGGGAGGGAGGGAATGAGTCCAGCAGAGGGAGGAGTTGAACCTTCATGTGACAAAGGCCTCCATGGGTCCCAAAGTGAGCTCTGGAGAGGAGCTGGATCTTCAGAGTTGTCCCACCTTGAGGCCAGGGTGTGGGCCCTTACACTCTCCCACTGACTGGGGTTGTCACTCCAGTGTAGTTGGTTCTCTGTGGCTGAGGGCAAACCCCTGAAAGCAACTAGACGAGTACGGGCTGTCAGCCCCTGACTCTCAGCAGCAGGAAAGTTCTGGGCAGCAGATGCAGTGTCCACTACAGTGGGCATCTGAAGTCCTCTTTTCTTTTTTACATAAGAAGTATTATTACCCTTTGTTCTTTCAGTAAAAAGAGAAGGAAAGCATAGCTAATTTGACTTTGAGATAAAATATGTCCATTTTTTTTTAAACCATCATGTATTCTAAACCTTTCACAGAGCCCACGCTGTGTTCTTTCAGAGTTAACCTACATTCCAGTATGTATAGCCCATAGGCATTATTACAATTGAAGATGTTCTGTTTCCCAGTTTATTGTAGACACAAGAAAGGAAAATGACAAAATTCCACACTCTGCTATTCAGTGTATGAGAAATCAAGCATACTGCTAAGGGTCCTGAAAAGACCAATGACAGACAAGTTATCTTGACCAGTGTCCTTTCTGCATCTCATGTCATTCGGGAACTTACAGGACAACCTCAAATTCCCTCCTGCGGTAGCGCTAAGTCTGAAAGAAAAAGAACATTTTGGGGCACTCATTGGGGAAATAATTCTCTTAAAATGCAATACTTGTTTCAATTGGACTGAATAAAGCCACAGAAATTAGATTTTAAAGGTAATTGCTGTAATGAGAAGAGACAAGTATCGAATGCGAACTAGAAATGAAATTAAGTGCAAAGGCTCATATACGCAGGTGCACCTCGATTTCCAGAAACCCAGAAAGTAAAACTAATGATTTAAAAAACAGAAAAGAGAATACTTTGTTAAAAATAAAGGGCACATACAAGAATGTCTACCAATTCTTCTATAAGAATGTTTATAACATGAGATTTACCAACAAAGACTGATTTACTCGCTTTGTGTTAATACTTTTAAAGAACAGAGCTGTTGCATTGAGCAAACTTTATTATATTAAAAATACAGAAAAAATACTTTACATTTAAATCGCTTCCAATTTGCATTCAGTTCTTCGTTATTCCTTTCTCTTTCCCTGTGATTGTTGTATATAAGGTGAGCTGGATGCACAAATACACTGGAGTTTCCCTTTGTTGTCCACAGGACCTAGGTTATGGGATTTATTTACAAGTGATCCTGCCTTCTAACCAACTAAGTTCCTCCCTCCCTCACTTCTTCCTTCCTTCCTTCCTTCCTTCCTTCCTTCCTTTCTTCCTTCCTTCCCTTCTTTCATTCTCTTCTTAATATTTAAGTAAACAGGCTCTCTGAGGTGGTCCCAGATTAACTGACGTGTGCCAGGTGCTCCGCATAGGGAAGGTGAGTAGGAGAGCTAGTCCACTGCAGGCTGGGGTGTGACGAGCTTGTGCTGCAGGGGCCTCTGTGCTTTGATGACTGCATTCATTCGTTGCTGGTAGAGCACAGCTATCTCTGCCAGTTAGAGGGGAGGTGTTAATGCATTTGAGGAGGCGGATGTGGCTGAAAAACATGCCTGGGAGTCTGCAGAGCCTTTCTCTCCTTCCACCTCTGAGCCTGCAGCCCTGACAGTCATGAAAGGCAGGGCGCAGAGATTTTGCTAACCTGTGGCTGGAGCTGTGAAAATTTGGGAACAGCCTGAGGTGTTAATTTGCTGCTACTTCAACATGGCCCCCCTACTTCTTCAACACCCAGTGGAGGGAGAAATTCCCAGCTGTCCTCCTTACCAGCTCTCCACACCCTGCCTGGGGGCCCTCCCAAGTAAGGACAGGCTCACGAGCAAGTCTCTGT